TAAAAAATGTTATTTTAACTTTTTAAATGAAAATTTTCAAGCATACACAAAAGAAGAAAGAAGAGTACAATAAGCTATTACCCAATATCCAGTTTCAAGAATTGACACATTGCCAATCTTGTTTTCTCTATCCTACATATGCCTTATTCCTTCCTTATTACTATTTTTAGAGCTTTCATGAGGTATTGTTTATGTGCCATAAAATCCATTCATTTTAAGTGTACAATTCAATAATTTTAGTAAATTTATACAATTTTGCCACCATTATCACAATCCAGTCTTAGAACATTTCCATTACCCCAAAATGCTGTCTCCTGGGAATCTTCTCTTCCATTCTCAAATCCAGGCAACTACTGATCTGATCTGTTAATTTAGTTACTTGAGAGCTGTTGATTTTCCTACTGCTGCCCAGCTGAAAGTTCTGGATTTCCCTTAACACTCATTCTGGGAATTGTTTTACTTTTTCTTTCTGTGCTAAATCTTTTGTTTCCTAGATCTCATATCTTCCTCTTTCTTGGTTTATACCCTCTGTTTGAGGGGCACCTCTTTCAACAGATTCCTGAGAATAGGCCCAAGGGTGCATTATAATTACATGACTACATTTTTGACATCTTTCATTTGTCATGAGATGTCACAATTTTTGATAGCTAACAAAGCATCGAATTCTACACTGGAAGTAATTCTCCCACAGATTTCCAACTTCTAGTATTGCCCTTAAGTCTAATGCCAGTCTGATCTTTGACCCTTCTTTAGTTCTCCCTCTTCACTCTCCCTTCTCCCCCTCCCCCTTCTCTCTTTCCTCTCCCCTCTTCCCTCACCTTCCCCTCCTTTTCCCTGATTCTTGGAAGCTTCTAGACCCTAGACCTCCTTAAAGATCCTGTACCTAGGTGTGGGTTGTTTTCATTCTGAAGGAGCTCAGGAAATTTCATCCCAAAATATGACTCTCTGGTATAAAGAGCATTTTGAATTAAAGGTCCTTAGGGATCAACAGGCTTGGAAGGGGTTTCCCTCTTTCTTCATACAGAAAACCAGACCCAGCAAAATAAACAATCAACTTCCCTTCCCCTCCCTGTTATTTCAATATATTGCAGGAAAGAAGATCAAGAATGCAACCAGACCTGGCTGAAATCATTTTAAATATAATACCTGTATCTAAGGTTAATTTAATTTCCAGTGAAAATTGTTTATAAGTCAGTCTGTTTCCCCCATCCACTTTTCTTCCAAGTATCTATTCATCCTACTTAGTAGCCATTTATTGCCCGAAACAGAATTACCTATATTGCTCATCTCCCCCTCTCCTCTAAAATGAAGGTATGTAAATTTCTGGTCCCCATTGGGATATTGAGTAATCACTCTGTGATTCTCCCCATGACCACAGTAAATAAAAATGTATCTTTCTCTTATTTTTTTATAATACTTATATTTAATTAAATAAAATTTAATTTATAAGATCTAATCTGGTTAAAAAAATCACAGCCAAATTTATGTAAGTGTATATATAAAATTATAATACGTTATATTATATATTATAGTTTATTATGCATAAAATTATGTGTAGTTATATAAAAATTATATGTTATTTATATATACATATATATTTTTATTTTTATTTCAGGATATTATGAGGGTACAAATATTTTGGTTACATTTTATGTCTTTGCCTCACCCAAGCCAGGATTACAGGCATGCCCTTCCCCTCTACAATGCTCACTGTGTCCATTAGTTGTGAGTTTACCACTCCCCAAACCCCTAATCCCTAGAGAATATTACTACCATGTGAGTCTCTCTTACTAATCTGCCTTATTGTGAGTGAATTGATCTTCTAGCGAACCTTCCAGGGTGAAGGGGAAGTTTCCCCTCATCCCCACAATTCATTGTGCTATGCCCTCATGGAACCCTCTCAATCTTCCTGGAATTTTTTTTTTTATATTATTTATTTGGAAATGTGTGAACTTAAATAAAATCTTAAGTCCCCCAGCTGAATGAATGGACTCCCTCTTGGCCAAGGGGACCCCAAAAAACCCTAAAGCTGAGTTGTTGTCCTTGAGAAAGGAGGTCATAGCCCCTCCTTTCTTGGAGATATACTTTCTAACAATAAGATGCTAAATCATTAACAGGCCTAAGAGTATACAAGACAAAGCTTAAGCCACACCTACTGGCCATCAATTTACTTAATAGATCACTTGAGTTTCAGTAAAGGTCTGGTGGCTTGTCTCTGATTAACAGGCATCCTTAAGTTAAAACACTCCAAGCCTTTAGACAAAGCTTAATTTTTTTTTTTAACCAGTTACAAGTCAAGGAATCTTTAAACCCACCTATTACCTGCTAACCGCCCTCCCCCCACCGCCGTCCCCATGAATGTATTAAACCGAAGTATAACTCAGCTGCTGCTGGCACATTTCACATTTTCTCAGGATCTCTTGAGGCCATGTGCTTCAGTCTGGTACAGAGCTTGGGTCTTTTTCAGTTCACAAACTTATTACGCTCCATTTTTACAGTTCACTTGGTTTGGCAGTTTTGCGATGGTTTGAGTTCCCCCAGAAGGAAACAGTCAAATCCTATGACAAAAATTCAAATTCAAGTACATTTTTTTAAAAAAAAGACACATTTATTCAGCGTCATGATCAGACTATTACATTCAGCAATCAACAGCATGGGTGCCAAAAAAAAAAAATCTACATTTAAACCCTTTGTTGGAATGCTTTACACTTTCCACAGAACAGAAACTAAAATAACCTGTTATACAATTAGTCACAAATGCAGTCCTCGAGTTTTTTACCCATACACATGAGTATTGTCTAAAATATGTCTTCTTTGTAGCAGCTAGACACTGCCACCACTGTGCTTGGCTGAGTTCACAAATCTGTTATAACCTGTAGCTTCCCTGTCATTTCTCTGGCTCTCCTCTCCTGCTACGCTTTCTTTCCTGGGAATAATTAAAACCTTCTGCCATGGCCATAGCTACTGCTGCTACTGGAACCACCACAGCCACCTTGGTTTCATGGTTTGACAAAGTAGTGGCCTCCAACACCATAGGGGCCAGAGCTTCTGCCTCCAAAATTTCCTCCCTTTATGGGTCCAAAATTTGAAGAGTGATTGTTGTAATTGCCAAAATCATTGTAGCTTCCACCACCTCCAAAATTGCTTCCGTCATTACCAAATCCATTGTACCCATCCCCACTGCCACCATATCCACCACCACCATGGCTGCCACCAAAGCCATCTCAACCACTGAAGTTTCCTCCACGGCCAAAGTTGTCATTCCCATCAAAACCACCTCCATGACTGCCATCAAAGTTTCCAGAACCACTTCGACCTCTTTGGCTGCATGAAGCACTAGCCATCTCTTGCTTTGACATGGCTTTCCTTACTTCACAGTTGTGGCCATTCACAGTATGGTATTTCTGAATGACAGTCTTATCTACCGAATCATGGTCATCAAAGGTTACAAAAGCAAAGCCCCTCTTCTTGCCACTGCCTCTTGTCAGTCATGATTTCAATCACTTCAATTTTCCCATACTGTTCAAAATAGTCTCTTAGGTGATGTTCTTCAGTATCTTCTTTAATGCCACCAACAAAGATCTTTTTCACAGTTAAGTAGGCACCTGGTCTTTGAGAATCTTCTCGGAGACAGCTCTTTTTGGTTCTACAACTCTTCCATCCACCTTGTGTGGCCTTGCATTCATTGCTGCATACACCTCCTCCACAGTGGCATATGTGACAAACCCAAAGCCCCTGGAACACTTGGTGTTTGGATCTCTCATTACCACACAGTCCGTGAGCGTTCCCCATTCCTCAAAATGGCTCCTCAGACTCTCATTGGTCGTTTCAAAGCTCGATCCTCCGATGAATAGCTTCTACAGCCCTTCGGGTTCTTTAGGAGACTCAGACTTACACATGGCAGCAGTGGGAAGAGAGACTTTAACGATGCTTCCTCGGCAGCTTACACGGGCAGAAATCAAATACATTTTTAACAGTTTTTTTTTTTTTTTTTTCGCGAGAGAGCGAGAAAGGACGGGCATTTTTAACAAGTTGAATCATACTATACGCTTGTCATTGGAGATTTGCCCATGTCAGTACCAAAAGATCTACTCCCTTTCAAAACATTTTTTAGAATATAATTTACACAAAGTGCACAAATCTTAAGTGCAGGCTTCTCTGACTCTAACCGCCACCCAGATGAAAACGATGAAACATTTCCATTACCCTAGGTGATGATCTCAGCCCCCTTTGCAGTCAATACCCCTCAAATGCAACCATTAGTTTCACTTTGTAATCATTGATTAGTTTGGCTTGTTCTTGACCTTCATACACAAGTAAACGCACTTTTATGGACTCTATTCTTCTTAGTGTCTTCAGGATATCCTAAAATGTGTATACCATACTCTATTTGAATATTCCCAAATTGAACATTTACTTCCAACTATTTTTATTAAGAAAACTGCAAGCCGTGTCCTTGTCACACTTATGTAAGAATTTCCGTAGGCTAGAGCCCCTGAAGGGGAGTTGCTGGGTCAGAGGGGCGAATCTGCTTTTCTTTCACATCTGATCTTTTCGTGTGTTGAGGCAGAGGGAGGCCGGGTGGGTTAGATCACACGCCTCTCCCTTGCATCCCCTGGCCTAGCGGAATCTTCTCTCAGTCCAGCCACGTGCTGAGTCCGGGAGGTCTTATTACTCACAAAACGCAACCGGCTCACAAAAGTCCTTTAAGCTTTGATTCCCTACCGGGACTGACGCGATAGTGACGCCCGGCATTTCCGTCTCTGAGGGGGCGGGGTCAGTAGCGCCCCGCCCATTCATTGCGGTCGCCGGTTGATGACGCTAGATGCCGTGTGCTCACCCACGTGTGCTGCAGATTTCCCTGTGTCGGCCGAGCAGCGGCGGGCGCTTTCCGTGGGGACGTAGTCGGTGGCGGCTCCGGCGCTGGGACCTCGGCGGCTTGGGACGCTGAGCACGAGGCAGGGAGTGCAGGTGGCCGCCCAGACGGTGGGCCTGGGGTCATGGAGCACCTCTTGCTAGAGGTGGCGGCCGTGCCCCTGCGGTTAATCGCAGCCAAGAACGAGAAGAGCCGCAGCGAGCTGGGCAGGTTCTTGGCCAAGCCGGTAAGAGAAGGAGAGAGAAAGAAAGCTCCAGACAGACCCTGGTCGTCCCCCTCCCGCTCGCCCTGCGCTCCTCCGCGGAGGAGCGCTTCTTTAAGGGGGGGGGGGAGAAGCGGCGTCTTACTACTCTGTCTGCCTCCCGCGGGCTGGCCGGTAGCGGAGGCGTCTGCGCGTGTTCGAGGCGATTGGAAGGAGCCTGTTGTTTTTACCTGGGGGGACGCTTCCAGTCCCCTTCCCACCGCCTTCCACCCCTAATGCAGCGCTCTGGCTGCGTGTGGCAGACATGGCCTTCGGAAAGAAATGTGGTTTGTTTTTCTGAAATTGAGGGTGCATCTCTGCCCTTTTGACTGTGAACGTATTACCTAAGTGTGCGTAGTCCGGCCACCCCTGTTAGCTTATGTGACTGTTTTTCTTTTTTGCCTGGTTCCTTTTCGGCTCATTGACAAGTATTGATCGCCTTCCTGCTGTGCGTAAGGCAGAATGAGGCAGTGTAAGGAAATAGATAAATCCGTTGCGGTCTCTACCCTAAGGGAATTTTACAGCTATTTTTGGAGACAGTTCATAAACAATTAAAACAACTGAAGGACAAAGCACGGCAGCTATTGCTAACTGTTTTAAATTAACTGTAGGAATTATGAAGTGAACTAGAGTTTTCTGGGAATTAGGTCTTTGGGTTTTCAAGAGCCTTCTCTCATTGACTTTTGCTTGAGTTGAGGACTCTTATTACGCATCTTTTCACGTTGCATTTTAATTTCATATTTTATGCTTACCCACTCCCAATATCTGTAAACTTCTTGACAATGGAAAATGTGTTTTTATTTCTGTAACTCCAGTATCTAGAACTCGCTGATTCAGTCACAAATGCATTGCCCACGCATATATTCCATTGCTCAGGAAGCAACAGCAGTATTTTGGGTGAGAGACTGAGGGACCTGGGCAATCTGGAGCGGCCGGGAACTAACATGAGAGGCATTTCTGTATAGTGACAAATCATGAGAACCAAAGGCGAGTCGAGTATGTCTTCTGGATTTCTGGCTTGCAGGCCTCCAGAGAAGATGGAATGAAGGGAATTACTAACACAAATGGGAGTTCTAGAAAGAAAACTGATTTTTGGTGGGTTTGGCTAGGGAAGGAGATAAACAGTTTAGATGACTTGAGTTTGTGAAAGCCTCCTTAATTGTTACTAGAGGCTTTTTCTGTAAGCGGTCATAGAATTTAGAGCACAGTTTCTGGATTTAGGGTTTTGCACTAGCTCCAGGGGATTTATGATTCCCACTGTAATTGGAGGCGAAATTGGTGTTTCTGTATTGGGATGGAGTGGAAAAATGGTTTGTAACCTTTATTAGATAAGGTTTTAGGGGAATCTGACATTGAAATGTAAGAAACACTCAGATTTTAGAAATTTAATGATAATGCTGCTGAACTAGAAAGCTACTAGAAATTTCAGTTGATATAAGGAGATTGCGATAGAATTGCTTCTCCCCTTCCTTTGCCGCATATTGTTAAATTCTGTCTAATCTCAGAAATGTCTTTCAGGCTTGTTCCTTTCAATTTTGGGGAACAATTTGAAGCCTTTCACTCAGAAGAGTTGATTGTATTGCCATTCTATTTTTGTCCCTATTTTTGAAAACAAAATATTTTTATTGGAAAGCAGCAAAAGACTTTTTGAAATATTGATTTTCATGATATTTGGGATCTGAAGTAAGAGTTTTTTTAGGATTGTGCTTTCACTGTTCGTTATCTCAGCTGGTGATGCTATCTTCTGTCTGGTCACTCATCGTAGAGAACTGTCTGCAATCATTCCTTCTTCCAGACATATAAGAAGAAAGTCCTCCTGATTCTTGCTTTAAGTATTAAATCTGTTCCTTCCTCTTTGTCCCTACTACCGCTACCATCCCTACTTCCTTTATCATTAAGTTCAAGAAGAGCAGAGTGGTTAAGAGCATGCTAGGGCACTGGATCTGGAGTATGACTAAAGATTTAAGTCCACTTTCTTTTACTTAATTGCTTTCATGCCCTTGGGCAAGTTAACTCCCCTAAATCTGTTTCTAGGTCAAGTTTATATTACATGTGGTAGCTGCTCGAGAGTTACAGGGAGTGGTTAAAAGCAGGGACTCTGGAACCAGGCTCTGTGACATGGATTCCAGGTTCTGCTATCACCTTTGTGACCTTAATGTTTTTTTTCCAGTTTCCCCGTCTGTACAATGGGGATGATATTTAATTTATGGGTTGCTTTGAGGAGTAAATGCCTGGAATATAGCAAGCGCTGTCTGTAAGAGTGGTTGGCTTTACTATTGCTGTAAATGAGGCTGTTGAGAGGACTAGATAACACGTGAGGAGCTTACCAAAGTGCCAGGCACATGGTAAGTAATCAGTAAATGTGAACTTTAGTAATCACTTATTTTTAAAACAGCTTTATTGAAATACCATTCACATACTATATAATCTATTTAAGGTGTACAGTTCAGAGGTTTTTGTTATGCAGTAGTCCTCCTTACCCGTGGTTTTGCTTTCCATGGTGTCAGTTACCGCAGTCAACTGAGATCCGAAAATATTAAATGGAGAATTCCAGAAATAAATTTGTAAGTTTTAAATTTTGTGCCATTCTGAGTAGTGTTAAGAAATCTCTCGATGTCCCACCTGTCCTACCCTATCCCACGCTGTCCCTCTAAGAATGTGAATCATCCCTTCGGCCAGTATATCCACACTGTATATGTTACCCACCTGCTAGTCATTGACATCATTGAGGCTCAACGATCCAGGATCACTGGAAGCAGATGATCCTCCTGATGTATTGTCCCAAGGTCAGTAGTAGCCTAACTCTACATCTAAATGCCTATGTTATTCACCTCACTTCATAGTCATTTTATCATCTCACATCAGAACATGAAAAAGGGCAAGTACAGTACAATAAGGCATTTTAAGAGAGACCACATTCACATAACTTTTATTATAGTATATTGTTATAATTGTTCCATTTTATTATTATTCTTACTGTGCCTAGTTTATAAATGAAACTTTATCATAGGTGATATAGGAAAAACCATAGTATATATAGGGTTCGGTACTATCAGGACTTTCAGGCACCCACTGGGGGTCTTGGAATGTATCTTCCTTGAGTAAGGAGAGGACTACTGTATTCACAGATATGTGCTGCTGTCACCAGTCAGTTTTAAGACATTTTCATTACCTCAGAAAGAAACCTTTATACCCTTTAGACATCATTCTTCATCCCAAACAACAATTACCTACTTTTTTACTCTATAGATTCCCTGTCCGGGTCACTTAATGTAATCATTAATGAGACAAATCTGAATCTGTCACCATTTTGCATAAAGCTCCCCATTGTTTCCAGAATCAAACCCAAAGCTTTCTAAAATGGCATATGATGTGTTCTTTGGTGCATCTCCAGCATATCCCTCCAGCCCAATGGTTGGGGGGGCGGGGAACGGGGGAATAATGCCCCTGGGGCAAATCTGGAGACATTTTTTGACATCACAACTGTTTATGGTGGGGGTGCTCCTAGTGCATCTAGTGCATCAAGGCCAGGGATGCTGCTAAACATCCTGTAATGCACAAGACAACTCCCCATAGCAAGGAATTACTCAGCCCCAAATGGCAGTAGTCAAAATTAAGAAGGAAACTCTGCCCCAGCCTGATTTTCTACTCTCTGCCCAGGGCTTGATACAGCAGCAATGCTGAGATTCCCCGAACGACCGCAGGTTGTTACTCCCTGCTGTTGCTATCTGGAGTCACCTGTTGTTACATTGTGCTACTATTGTCTGGGCCTTCCCTTGCTGTTTCTTGCCTCATTGACTTTGCATTTCCTTTCCTTAGAATGCTTCTGTTTTCTGTGCCCCTTGCTCAATTAACTTCTTTTTCTTTTTTCTTAGCCTTGCCTAAGCAAGACCTCAAAAAATTTGGTTACCAACTCATAACTGTCCCTCTCCACGGAAATCTTTAGGAAAAGGTGAAAGATTTATTCGTTTTGAAGAGAAACCAGAGTATTCAATTAACTTCTATTTGTTCTGGAAGACCACTTTTGCAATTACCTTCTCCAGATGACTGCTCTTATTTTCCCCCTTTATTTTTCCTACTTACCCCTTTGTTTCAATTAACTGACCAATTAGTTGAGAGTACCTTGAACTAACTCAACCAGTTGGTTGAGAGTATCTTAAGACAGCGGTCCCCAACCTTTTTGTCCCCAGGGACCAGTGTCATGGAAGACAATTTTTCCACGGATGGTGGTGGGGGCATGATGGAGCTCTGCGGCCTGGTCCCTAATAGGCAGGGAACAGTAGCGATCTGAGGACCGGGGGTGGGGGACGGAAGCCTTAAGAGAAGGGACTGTTTCGCTCTAGTGTCCAGTACAGTGTCTGACATGTAGTAAGCAGTAATGTTTATTGACTGAATGAACAGATTAATACACTCACAAATCATGGTACTTTCTTATTTTTGGCAGCAGGCAGCCTTGAAAAACTTCCAATGTTTTAAACAAATGATGACTCTTTAGTGCTATTTTTAACTCAGGTTCAACTGTAGTAAAAGCAACTCTGTGGTGTAATTATGAAAATAATTAGAAGTAGGAAAGATTTTGGTTTTCTTGATTGCTTGGGTTTTATAGGGTACACTAGATATTGTCTCTCATTAGCTGAATGTACTCATTTCAGCTGATACATGTAATTATAAATAAAAACTGAGGTGAGATAATTTCAAAGAAAAGCTTGCTTTATACCTTTAATTAACTCTGTTTTGAGAAGGGCTAACTGACCAGTTAGCATTTGAATATGAGAATGTAGTAATTTCACTACCACAGTATATTCTCAATATACTAAATATACAGACATACGAATATCAAAAAATGTTCTCTCCTTTTCTATTTTCCTAGGCTAATTTTGGTAAATTTGATTAATTTTATTGTCATTGTAGCAAAGGAACTGAATTGGTTGATATTTTTGGTGGGAAGAGACGAGCTGAACCCCACCTTAGAGTGTTTTTTCTTCTGTTTGTTAAGTAATCAGCATCCTTCAGCTTCCCTCATACTTGCCTGTAGCCCAGCCACTAAATAAAACCCATTTAAGCATCACAGAAAATTAGAGAAGTGAGAAAATAGGAAGGGTAACCATGAGGATTGTAGCCCTTTCCCTTTTCCAGTGGATCTCAGTTTATAAGGAGAAAGGCAGGATTTCCTAAGAATACTATTACCTGAATGTTACAAGAGTAGTCACAGAAGGATTAAGTAGTAAATCCTTTAGCATTTATTGCTTTATTTTTGTTGCCTATAGCAGCAGGTCAGCTGATACAATCAAAGATACTTTGGCTAACAAAGGCCCTGGGCTTGCAGGTTGTGTAGTTGTGTAGTTTTCCTATAACCCCCACCCTCAAATGCTCACAGATATCCCTGTCTACCTGGCCCCTTTTCTTGTTGGCCTGGCCTGGCATTTACCCTTTTTGGGGTTTTAGTAAAATGTGTATTTGTTTTTCTAAGCCTCATTAACTAGTATTAATAATATTGTTCATGGCAGAAAATTTGGAAAATTCAGGAAATGCAGAAGACCAGCATTACGTATTCTAAAAACAGTAAAAGGCTGAGTGACTAATATGAACAATTTTATGCCAATCCTTAGGTGAAAGGAGCATTTAAAGATTATAAACTACCAAAGCCCACTCAAAAAATAGACAAAGCAAGCTAGAAATAGAACAAAATTTGCTAAAGCTGGTAAAGATCATCTTCAAAAACCTACAACTATATCATAGTTAATACAGGAATAGGGCAGGGATGTCTACTCTTACCGCTTAGGTTGGTAACTCCGATGTATCGGAGTTCCTAGCCATTGCCGAATGACAAGAATACGAAAGGGTGTATGGATTGAAAAGTAAAAAATAAAAGTGTGTGTTTGCTAAATACAGAATTTTGTATATAGAAAATCTTAAGGAATCTTCACAATAAGGTAGATTTTATAAAGTCACAGGATACAAGGTCAATATATAAAAGTCGTATTTATATTTAAGATAATTGAGAAATGAATTTTTTTTTTTTTTTGTTCAGTCCCCGTAGGGACCGTCAAAAATTGCCAGTGCCGACTATATTGCAAGTCGTCATGGCGGAGTATTGGGAAAAGTTTTCAATTAGCAATAATCGCGCCTCGGATAAACCTCATTGGCTACGATACTGCCACTGCGCAAAGCTAAAGCTGAGAAATGAATTTTAAAACAGTGTTTACAGCAGCTTCCAAAAACAATAAAATACTGTGATAAATTTAAATTTAACAAAATTTGTGCAAGATCTGTACACTGGAAACTATAAAACTATAAACCATTGGTAAGGTAAATAAGACCTAAATAAATGGAAAAATGTTCATGAATTGAGAGACTCAATATTGTTAGGATGAGGTTTCTCCCAAATTGATCTACAAATTGAAACAATCCCAGTCAAAATCTCAGCAGACTTTTGGGTGTGCGTATGTGTATAGAAACTCACAAAACAGTTCCAAAGTTTAAATGGAGATGCAAGTTAAGCAGAATAGCCAAAATGATTTTGGAAAAGAGAAAGTTGGAAGACTTAAACTGCCTGATTTCAAAACATAAAGCTACAGTTACCAAGACTGTGGTATTTGTGTAATGATAAACATAGACAATAGAGCATCCAAAAATATACCCACATATGATAAGGTCAATTGATTTTTAATAAAATTGTGAAAGAATTAAACAGAGAATGGATAGTTTTTTTTAACAATTTGTGCTGGACAGAAGGATATTCATAGGGAAAGAAAGTGAACCTTTACCCCACCTTATATCAAACCCATGTATTAACTTGAAATGCATTGTTCTAAAATTTAAAGCCTCTAGGAAAAAAAATAGGGGAAAAATCACGAGATTGAGGTAGAGAAAGATTTGTTAGACTGGATGTTAAAGGACTGTCAGATATTAAGAACTTGTGCAAATGACTAGATAACCTAATTTAAAAATTAAAATTTATTTTTCTTTTTTTCCCCCCCTTTTTTTTTGAGACAGTCTCACAGTAGAGTGTGGTGGTGTCATCATAGCTCACAGAAACCTCACACTCCTGGGCTCAAGCAATCCTCATGCCTCAGCCTCCTGAGTAGCTGGGACTACAGGTGTGCGTCACCACGCCCGCTAATTTTTTCTATTTTTAGTACAGACGTGATCTAGCTCTTGCTGAGGCTGGTCTTGAACTCCATCTTCCTGTTTCAGCCTCCCAGAGTGCTAGGATTACAGGCGTGGGCCTCTATGCCCGGCCCTAATTTAAAAATTACAGTTAAACATTAAGGAATTTCTTTAAAAATTTTAAAATGTTAAAATTTATTTTTAAGTTGAGGATATAGTTACCATATATATAATCCAGCAGTCTCACTCTTGGGAAATGAAAAAGTGTAAGTAATGAATGTATGTTCATAAATCTCTTGTATATGAATGTTTATAGTAGCTTTATTGATAGCTGAGAACAGTGAAAACGTCTATCAGCATGTCAATAGATAAATTATGGTAAATTCATACAGTGAAATAGTACTTAGTAATAAAATGGAATAAATTGTCTATGCATACAACTATATGGATGATTGCCGGAAGCATTATGCTGAGTAAAGAAGCCAGATGGAAAAGAGTACATACTGCATGATTTCATATATATAAAGTTTTAGAACAGGCAAATCTAATCTGTAGAAATAAGAATCAATCAGTGGTTGTCTGGAGTGAGAGGGTTCACTGCAACTGAACTTGAGGGAACTTTTGCTTTGGTACCTTAATGGGGATGGTGCTTACATGGGTGTGTACTTTTGTTAAAAACTGTATACTTAAATGGGTGCATTTTATAATACATAAATTGTATCTCAAAAAGTTGATTTTTAGGAAATTTCTTCTGACACAGTTTTCCAGATTATGCTTTGAAGAAAAAAATTTTTTTAAGAAACAAGGCCTCACTGTGTTGCCCAGGCATGCCTTGAACACCTGGGCTCAAATGATCCTCTGGCCTTAGCCTCCCAAAGTAGCTGGGACTGCAGGCTTGAGCCACTGAGAGGACACTGAAGAGAAAATTTATTATGTTCTCTCTGGAAGTTTTTTCTCAGTCCACAGGTATCCATTTGTGTAACATGTTTAGGACAGTTGGGCTTATTTTGTTTGGATATTTCTTTTTTCCACACAACCACTTTATTATTTTAAAAATTGTATCTTTTTTTTTTTTTTTGAGATATAGTCTTGCTCTGTTGCCCGGGCTAGAGTGCCGTGGCGTCAGCCTAGCTCACAGCAACCTCAAACTCCTGGGCTCAAGCGATCCTTCTGCCTCAGCCTCCCAAGTAGCTGGGACTACAGGCATGTGCCACCATGCCCGGCTAATTTTTTCTATATATTTTTAGCTGTCCAACACCCGCCTCTGCCTCCTATAGTGCTAGGATTACAGGTGTGAGCCACCGCGCCCAGCCTAAAAATTGTATCTTTAGATGGCTTGTTTATAGGGACATTCATCAGTTGAAAATGTAAGGTCATGCCCTTGTGAATCCTGGCCAAATCTGTTAAATTTCTTTGCCTCTATTTTTGTGGAATTCTTCACTTTGCTTCCTATGAGCTACAGAACTAATACTGACAGAAATTGTTTCAAGGTGACATCTTTCCCCAATCAGTGCTTTGTTCTGAAGCAGGTGTTTTCATGAGAGAGTGCCTTGTAACATGGAAACTTGTAAGAGCTCATGTGTAAGGTGACCTCTCGTTTTCTGAGAAACAATTTTGGAAAACTCGTTACATTTTTGCACATGGTATTTAGGATGTGTTCAAGATGCATTTTGTAGATAACTATTTAGCATGAAACTCCTTAAGATCATGTCATGGCATTGGACTTGGAGGGTCAGAGAGCATGTACCTCTTTGGTAATTTAAATCTCCTGTCACATTGCCAGGCAGAAAGGGTTTTGCACACTTTTATACACACTAGCAATATAATACCTTCTATGCAATTTTTAGTATTCCTTTTTATGCTTATGGATATTCTGAGCCCAGGCACTAGAATTTTGTGTTTTATTTCATCTTATCAAAGTGTAGTTGTCTACTTTGGATCTGTTTTGTTTATTAAATAGAGGCTGAAATCTTGATAGCCTTGATTAGGGATATCATTTGTTTCTAGGAATTAATTTCCCACCTCTGTTCTTTCCTCAGGAGAGCTGGCAGTTTTGCATACTAACTGCAAAATTCCTATGTTTTCCTTCAAGAGTTAAGGATTACTGAAGTTTTGGATTCCCTGGAGAATGTGGAGACGCTGAAACATAGATTATTTTTTCAGGGAAGCTGTGTAGCATTTAAGTGGAATCCCTTTTACCTCAAATTGCAGTGGACTGAGACTTATTTGCAATAGCCTTTACATTAAATTAACTCTAATCCTCTGTTCCAAAAAAACCCCCACTGTATTTTATAAGAGAAACTGACTTCTGAAGTCTGGAAATTGGATATTTTGATTCCAAGATAGGACTCTTTTGTGTTCTTCGCCAGCAGGGCAAATGAATATGTTTACATAGATATTTTGTTTTGCCTTTTTCTCAGGTGTGGACACCTCAAGATCGCCAGTGTATCCTCAGTACCTTAGCACAGTTACTCCTGGATAAGGATTGTACTGTTCTGGTTGGTCACCAGCTGCGCCCTCTCCTTCTGGATTTGCTGGAAAGGAATGCTGAAGCCATTAAAGCTGGAGGCCAGGTTAACCATGATCTACATGAAAGGCTCTGTGTGTCAATGAGCAAACTCATTGGTAACCATCCTGATGTCCTCCCGTGAGTAGCAGTTTTATTCTTCGTGTTTCTGCTTGAGGTGCTAGAACCTGATCCCTCTTGGGAAGTAAGGAGGAGTCTGAGCTGAGAAGGAAAAAGGGAAATACAGAAAGGAGAGAGATAAGTAGTACCGTTTTATAAAAATAATCACAGCGGAATCCATATATCCAGCTCAGTTCAGTGAGCATTTACAAGGTTTCTTTTCAATCTTGGCCATGAAAACAGTCTGGAAAAATGGCCAAGATATGTCCCCAATCCACTCAAGGATTGCATTATGTGGCGAAACATGCATATGAGACAAATTTGAATGAGATTTAGGTGAGGCTCTTATAGCATCCATCTCAGATGGGTGAGATTTCTTTGCTGTTGGAGCAGCTGAGGGGGTGAATTTGAAGTGCTGGCTATAGTGTCCCTTCCAACTTTCTACAGATCTAGCTGACTCAGTGTGGCAAGAAATGGTGTTATAATTGGATTTAAACATATTTATCTTTTAAAGTGTCACTGAGGCTGGAGTGCAGTGATGTGATGATAGCTCACTGCAACCTCAAACTGGACTCAAGCAGTCCTCCAGCCTGGGCCTCCCAAAGTGCTAGGATCACTGCACTCACACATAATTCAGTCTTGATAGGTTATGTGTTTCTAGAAGTTTATCTATTCTAGGTTGGCATACAGTCATTCATAGCTTTCTCTCATAATACTTTGTTTCTGTGGCTTTGGTTATAATACCTCCTCTTTCATTTCTGATTTTAGTTATTCGAGTCCTCTTTTTTTTAGTCTAGGAAAAGATTTTCAATTTTGTTGATCTTTCAAAAACCAACTCTTAGTTTCATTGAGTTTTTGTTTTTTCTAATCTCTATTTCATTAATCTCTGCTTTAATCTTTATTGTTTTCTTCTGTTATCTTTAGGTTTAGTGGTTCTTATGCTGGTTCCTTAAGGTGTAAAGTTAGGTTATTGACTTGAGATCTTTCTTCTTTTTTAATGTATGTGTTTATAAACCTCTCTGTTAATACTGCTTTTACTGCATACGATATATTTTTGTTTATTATGTTTTTGTTTTCATTTGTCTGAAGGTGTTTTCTAATTTCCCTTGTGACTTATTTTGGTTTATTATGTTTCTGTTTTCATTTGTCCAAAGGTGTTTTCTAATCTCCCTTGTGACTTATTTTTTGACCCGTTTAGTTGTTCTAGAGTATGTTGTTTAGTTTCCATATATTTGTGCATTTTCCAGTTTTTCTTCTATTGATTTGTTTCATTTTATTGTGATAAGAAAAGATTCCTTTTTTTTTTTTTTTTTTTTGAGACAGAGTCTCACTCTTTTGCCCAGGCTAGAGTGCCGTGGAGTCAGCCTAGCTCACAGCAACCCCAAACTCCTGGGCTCAAGCAATCTTTCTGCTTCAGCTTCCCGAGTAGCTGGGACTACAGGCATGCGCCACCGTGCCCGGCTAATTTTTTTCTATATATTTTTAGTTGTCCGATTAATTTCTTTCTATTTTTAGTAGAGACGGCGTCTCGCTCTTGCTCAGGCTGGTCTCGAACTCCTGACCTTGAGTGATCCGCGCGCCTTGGCCTCCCAGAATGCTAGGATTATAGGCGTGAGCCACCGCGCCCGGCTGGTTTCTGGAGTTTTATTTTTTCCCTTTTTGGACTCTGTTTCTCTTCTTCTTTGTGTGCCTTGCGATTTTTTGTTGTTGTTATTGTAGTTAAGACTTGGGCATTTGAAAAAATAGCCACCTCACCCAGTCTTTACAGACTAGCGTCATACTGGGGAAGACCTTCACTGAACAACCAAGCTAAAGATTCTAGGGCTACTCAAGCTTTTTCTGAGTGTATAAAGAAGCCTTTATAACTCAGTTTACACCAGTGTTTCTCATTAATTGTGTTAGAATTTATCATAGAAGAATAGATCTGTGTGGGAAACGAAGTCAGTACAATGAAGCCTCAGCATCTTTACTGTGGCTTCATAAGCTTCATATATTCTGGCCACTGCCTTTCCCTTCATCTCATTTTCTGCCAGTAGTTATCTAGTTATAACACACTGCTTGTGGTTGCTTCTGCATACCACGCTGTTTCCTGATGCTGTCTCAGTGAACTTTTTGTTTCATCTGCATGGAATGTTTTTTTTTTCTTCACACCTTCATGTGGGTCTCCTCTTCATCCTTTAAGATGCAACCTAAGCATCTCTTCCTGCCCCCTATGCCCAGGTTCAGTTGAATCTTTTTTCTTTGTGTCCCTTGTTGTTTCTGTAATTGACTGTCTCCACTATTAGGTGGCAGGCTCCTCAAGAAAAATATCTCTTTGGTTTTGAATCCCTAGGTATTAACACATTGTCTGGCCGGCTCATAGTGTTCAATAAAATGTTCATTGGAAGTAAGTGCATTTTCAATAGTAAACTCTACAAGTACCTCTGCTTTTGTGGGTAATTATTTTATGTTTTTATATCGTAGTTACATATCTCATGCCATGGTACTGGTTTCTGAAATTGAACAGAATACAATTTGAGGACTAGGTGGTTAACATTTGTCTCCCCATGTTCTCAGATCCTTGGGAGTTCTGTTTTCTCCTGTGGTCCTGTATTAGCAGAGATGTGTTCTTTGATTCTCTCACCAAGTAATGAAAATAACAGATACTCTTTGTGGAAAATATTAAGTTGAAAATTGGTCAGGTGTGGTGGCTCCCATCTGTAATTGTGGCACTTTGGGAGGCTGAGGCGGGAGGATCAGTTGAGTTCAGGAGTTCGAGACCAGCCTAAGCAACAATAGGGAGATTTTGGTGCTACAAAAAATTTTTTAAAAGATCACCTGGGCTTGGTGGCACACACCTGTTGTCCCAGCTACTCGAGAGGCTGAGGCAGGAGGATGCCTTGAGACCAGGAGTTTGAGGTTGCAGTGAGCTTTGATGGTGCCATGCACTGTAGTCTGGGGAACAGAGTGAGACTTTGTCTCAAAAAAAAAAAAAAAAAGTTGTAAGTTGAAAATGTATTTAATACTGTGATAAACCCATTGTAACGTAAAAAAATTATAAGTCGAACCTTTGGAAGTCAGGGACATCTGTATTCTAACTGTCTTTCTTCCTGAAGGTTTGCCCTGAGATATTTCAAGGATACTTCCCCAGTCTTTCAAAGACTCTTTCTAGAGAGTTCAGATGCTAATCCAGTCCGCTATGGGCGCAGGCGGATGAAGCTCCGGGACCTAATGGAAGCAGCCTACAAGTTTTTGCAGCAAGAGCAGTCTGTGTTCCGGGAGCTCTGGGACTGGAGTGTGTGTGTTCCTCTCCTCAGAAGCCATGATACCTTGGTCCGCTGGTGTGTAGCTGTTAGACTTTTCTTGTGCTTCTAGTGTGGGGATGGTAGAGGGTGCATATGGAGTTCTGTGTGTGTGTGTGAAGAGGGACAGGAAACCATTTTATATTTGTTACATTCTTACGGTTTTTGAGTTCATTCTTAATCATGTGTCATTTCAGAGGATATGATTTTTTTCACCTTCCACAAAGTGAATTCATTGTGGCTGATTTGCCTTTTCTACTCTTAAATGAGTATTGTAATAGTTCTTTAAGATTTCCTTTTCTAGTGTTTAGTTGGCTAGTAAATTTTCTTTATTCTTTATAATCAGCTGTGGATCAACTGAATTTATATACTTTTTCTCCAGGTACACAGCCAATTGTCTTGCATTGGTCACCTGTATGAATGAAGAGCACAAATTATCATTCCTTAAGAAGATTTTTAATAGTGATGAATTGATCCATTTCAGGTTGAGGTAAGCAGGAGCCTTCCTAGAAGTTCTGCTGTGGGTTTTATGTGCAATAAAATAATTGATGAGATTCTCCTTTCCGTTAGATTATTAGAAGAGGCCCAATTGCAGGACTTGGAGAAGGCCTTGGTTTTGGCCAATCCAGAAGCCTCCCTTTGGAGTAAGAAGGAACAGCAGTGCTTACAGGGACACCTTATTTCAGCTGACCTCTCTTCCAGGGTGACAGCTGTCTGTGGTGTGGTGCTTCCCCGGCAGCCACCAGCCCTTGGTGAGCAGGTATGTTGGCATCAGTAGGGGGTGTGTCCCCTTCTCCCTCCTAAACACAACTGTGCTCTTTCCTTGGCTGGGCTCTGTGTACAAGGTGTAAGCTAAGTTGAATTTGTTTAATTGCTACGCCAATTTTGGAAGCGTTCAGGGGAGAAATTGAAGAGAAATTCACCTTGGACTTTCCTTTGTATTCCCTTTGTCTCTGTTTAATGTGAAATTAGAAACTGTAGTGATGCTTTATGGGATGCCTTTAACTCTAGCAAAGCTCTCTCTTCCATATATCTTTTTTTTTCCTTTTGAGATAGTCTTGCTCCGTTGCCCTGGGTAGAGTGCAGTGGCATCATTGTAGCTCACTGTAACCTCAAACTCCTGGGCTCAAGTGATCCTCTTGCCCTCAGCCTCCTGAGTAGCTGGGACTACAGGTGCATGCCATGTCACCTGGCTAATTTTTCTATTTTTAGTTGAGATGGGGTCTTGCTCTTGCTCAGGCTAGTCTGTAACTCAGGAGCTCAAGCAATCCTCCCGCTTTGGCCTCCCAGAGTGCTAGGATTATAGGCGTGAGCCACCATGGCTGGCCCATTTATCTTCCTGTTTGCTAGGACAACTGTGTGAAGTTGGGTTGCACGGGTCATGATCCCATATTAATGTAGTTCAAAGGCAGAATGACTTGCTTGGAGGCCTTTGGATTGCTCTGTGGCAAAGACAGGGCGAGGCCTAGTGATAACTCCCAGCAGTCTCTTTTCCACCAAAATATTCTGTCAGTTGTATGAGAGGTGAGTATTTGTAACGTACTTCCTTCCTGCCATATGAAATGACCTCCTTTCCAGGAACATGGCTCCAGACCACACTTAAGCTTATGCATTATAAATCTGGAACCACTGGGAACCAGTCTTCTTCCCCCAGCAGGCTTTATTCAGTTATCACTTCATCTGATGAACAGATCCACTCACTTTTCTTCTTGGAACAAGTCCTGGGTTATTTCTCTTCTTTTCTTTTTAAATTTTATTTTTGTTTGTAGAGGCAGGGTCTTGCTGTGTTGCCCACGCTGGCCTCAAACGCCTGGCTTCAAGCAGTACTCCTGTCTCAGCCTCCCAATATGCTGGGATTACAGGTGTGAGCCAGTGGGTCATTTCTTGAACTGTCACTTTGTCCCTGGGTAGTAGTGTTAACAAAATGTTAAAAAGAATTAATGTGTGATACATATATATGTATAGAGGAAAATGTGCATGTCATAAGTGTTATAGCTCAGTGGTTATTCATAAATTGAATGTGTATGTGTAAATAACACCAAAAAACCAGCATCTCCAAAGCTCTTTGAGTTTCCTTGTAGTGGCTAAGACCCATTTCCTACAATGCTCACCTCTCTACCCCTGCCTCCAATCCTGTAACCAGTGTCCTAACAAATTAGGTTTGGGGCATTAGAATTTAATATAGGGAAGGACTCTGGTAGGGATAGGCCTGGTGGGTGGTGGGTGGTGGTGAAGCCAATGGGGCATAAGTGCAGAATGATGCTGTGTTCGCCCTCCCTGCCAGATTGCTGAGAGTGATAGCCCTAAGGAAAGTTTAAGAGCTTCCAGTCCTGAATTTCTCATTTTGTTCTCTCACATCTCTAGGGGACTTGTCATGTTTAAGAAGTTACTACCCCTTAAAAGTTATTAATCATTCTACTTTCCCAAGAAATCTTTTCTCCCATGTATATTCGATGCATTACTATTTAATTAAATTTTGTAGTGATGTACTCATAACATTTACCGTCTTAACATTTTAAAGTTTATACTTCAGTTCACATTGTTGTGCAACCAATCTCCAGAACTTTTTCATTTTGCAAAACTGAAAACTATACCCATTAAACTTATTGGGTGCATTATTAATGTTATTTTTAATTTTTTGGTATGGAAAGTGTCAAATATATTCCAAAGTAGAAAAAATAGTGTAATGAATACTGATGTGTACCTATCACCCAGCTTCAGTAATTACCAATTTATGATCAGTTACGTTTTATTTATATTTCTGCATGATTTCCTCTCACTGTATTATTTTGGAGCAAATCCCAGGCATCATATTATTTTAATTCTTTTTTTTTTTTTTTTTTTTGGACAGAGTCTCACTGTGTTGCCTGGGCTAGAGTGCTGTGGCGTCATCCTAGCTCACAGCAACCTCAGACTCCTGGGCTCAAGCAATCCTTCTGCCTCAGCCTCCCGGGTAGCTGGGACTACAGGCATGCGCCACCATGCCCGGCTAATTTTTTTTTTTTCTATGTATTTTTAGTTGTCCGATTAATTTCTTTCTATTTTTAGTAGAGACGGGGTCTTGCTCTTGCTCAGGCTGGTTTTGAACTCCTGAGCTCAAACAATCCGCCCGCCTCGGCCTCCCAGAGAGCTAGGATTACAGGCGTGAGGCACTGCGCCCGGTCCATCATATTATTTTATACCTAAATACTTCAATATATACCTCTAAAAGAAAAATACTTAAAAAAATAGCCCCTTTACTCTTATTATACCTAAAAAATGAACAGTTTTATAATACAAAATATCCTCTCAGTGTCCATAATTCACTTGTCTCAAAAATTTATTGTGTGCATTGTTGATCTTAGATGTGAAACATATGGGAAGAGGAAAAAAAATTTTAAAAATCCAACAGTAGTAGATGAGATTTGTTCTCTACCCTTGTGTGTCAATTCTTTTGTTTGCTTAAACTTTGGGAGATGTTTTCTTAAATTTGTTAACAAATTCTGCTTTCCTACTTCCCCCTCCCACCAAAAAATGGAAAGTAAAGGAAAAAAATGTCAGATCCTTACTTTGGATAACATGCATGTTATTATAGTTTTGGTAGTACTAATTATTGGCAGAGGTTTATGTAAGGTCAGTGGAAGCATTGTTGTAGAAATTAACCTATGTTCTTTTAGGGGAAGGATTCTTTTTTTTTTTTTTTTTTAACCTTGGAGACAAGGTCTTTGTCTGTCACCCAGGCTGGAGAAGTGCAGTGGGCACAATCATGGCTCACTGCAGCCTGGAACTCCTGGGCTGAAGCGATCCTCCCGCCTCAGCCTTCCAAGTAGCTGGGACTGCACGCGCCACGTGCACCACCATACCTGGCTGATTTTTAAATTTTTTATAGAGATGGGTGTCTCTGTGTTGCCCAGGCTGGCCTTGAACTCCTGGTCTCAAGCGATCCTCCCACCTCAGCCTCCCAAAGTGCTGGGATTATAGGCCTGAGCCACTGTACCCAGCCAGGAAGGACAACTGTTGACATGCCTTTTGTTTCTCACTTGCCTTCTTAGACTAGTAATAGGAGTTCCTCGCGTGAACATGAGCTGGCCCTTCGGTCTTATGTGCTGGTGGAGTCTGTCTGCAAAAATCTTCAGACCATGGCTATGGCAGTGGCTTCCCAGAATGCTGTGTTGTTGGAAGGACCAATAGGATGTGGCAAAACTTCCTTAGTTGAATATTTAGCTGCAATGACAGGTAGAAGGAAGCCTCCTCAGCTTCTCAAAGTCCAGCTTGGAGATCAGACTGACAGTAAGGTAATAAAGAAATGGTGAATTTTGGTGGGTTGGCATGATTGTGAATATTTGCATTCAAGTGTTGTTTTTGCTAAGGGAATATAAGAAGAGTTATTGGTCTTGCTCGTACTGTTGGGCCGAGCTGAGTAAACCTCAAGTATCTACGTATCTATATCCCTATAGAAGTTTAACAATTAATGAAAAGGTGCAGCATTGACACCTCAGGGTGTGTGGTTTCAGTAATTACTTTATCCTTTTTCTGCAGATGTTGTTGGGGATGTATCGCTGCACAGATGTCCCTGGAGAGTTTGTGTGGCAGCCTGGCACCCTGACACAGGCAGCCACAATGGGCCACTGGATCCTTCTGGAGGATATTGACTATGCCCCTTTAGACGTGGTATGTTGTCTTGCTAAATCATTGCCTCCTAACATCTTTTCCTATCTTTTTTTTTTTTTTTTTGAGACAGAGTCTCACTGTGTTGCCTGAGCTAGAGCGCCGTGGCGTCATCTTAGCTCACAGCAACCTCAAACTCCTGGGCTCAAGCGATCCTCCTGCCTCAGCATCCCGAGTAGCTGGGACTACAGGCATGTGCCACCATGCCCGCCTAGTTTTTTCTATATATTTTTAGTTGTCCAATTAATTTCTTTCTATTTTTAGTAGAGATGGGGTCTCGCTCTTGCTCAGGCTGGTTTTGAACTCCTGAGCTCAAACAATCCGCCCGCCTCGGCCTCCCAGAGTGCTAGGATTACAGGCGTGAGCCACCGCGCCCGGCCAGGATAATTTTCTTTAGTTTCAAGTTTTAGAGTATCTTGGAGTTGCTCCTATATTATTTTGGGTTTCTCTTTCAGCCCCTAGCCATGTATGAAATAATGATGCCTAAAAAAATAATGTCTGGTATTTTAGAACCCTCTTCCTTGGCTCTCTGCTCTTCTCATTTTGTTTTTTCTTTTTCAAACTTCTCTGTAAACTCAACTCCTAGATCCATATGTCTAGTCCACACTCTTAAAAAAAAAAATCTCTGCTTGGATGTCATATAGCCAAGACAATTTGGACAACAAGATGTCCAAATTGGGGCTTGTCTTATTTTTCTCAGAACAGCCTTTTTCCCACATGGTTACCAAGCCAGAACCTAGATGCCTCTTTCTTCTTCTTCTCTCCCATTCAGTTAGTCTCCATATCGCTTATTGCCGTTTCCTTCTCTGTTCATTCTGTTCTTTCCAATCCTACTGCCTTAGTCCTGACCTTCTTACTTTATCTACCTACCAATCGATCTTGCCTTTGTTACCTGAATAGTGTCCTTTCCGGTCTCCTTTTCTGCAGTCTAGCTCCCTTTCAGTTTGTCTTCCATGTTACTGCACAGCTGATTTTCTAAAATATGTAACTGTTTTTTTTTTTTTCTCGACCTAAAATCCTCTTAATAACTCTTACAGAAAAGCTCAAAGTCCTTGTCTCAGCAGGAAGCCTTTTTTTCTTTATCTCTAAGCCTTACCTCTTCCTTCTGCTTTACATGCATATTCCACCCCACCGTAACAATTCTCTCACGTCATGCTCTTAGGCATATCATTTTTTTATGCGTTTGAATACTTTTGCCTGGAGTATATGTGCCATTTTTCTCCCACCAAACCTGGCTAATTTCTGCTCATTCTTTAATATTCAGTGAATGGCCTAGCGCAGGGAAGGCTTCACTGCCTTGCTTCTCAATCACTCTATTCTGATCCACAGCCTTCCTCTCTTCACATATAGCTCTGTATACCCCTAGGGCCACGCTGATCATGTGTGGTTTGCATCTCTGTCATCTTCCTTCAAACTCTAGGCTTTACTTTCTTGGTTGTGGTCCACAGAAGACACACAGGGAATGCTGGGTGAATAAATCACTGTGCTAGAGTGAAGATGGTGCAGACATCCCCATCTGCATTTTGACCCCAATTTATACTAGAAGTGGTGTTTCTTCCGAGGGTGTGTCATTTGGAGAGAGAGTTGCTTGTTTTTTGTTACTTCTGTCTGAAGAGCTTTACTTTATCAGTGGGGTTTTGTGATTTAGGTTTCTGTACTGATTCCTCTTTTGGAAAATGGAGAGCTCTTGATTCCTGGCCGAGGTGACTGCCTGAAAGTGGCTCCTGGATTTCAGTTTTTTGCAACCAGGAGGTATGTCGTATTTACCTTTCTGTTCCCACTCTGGTGCCAGTAAGTTTGCATGCTGAATCCAGGGTCCTGGAATACAGTTCTCAGGGCCCACTTCAAGCAAGATTAGTTGGAACTCATGATAGGTCCAGCCTTCTCTCAATTTACAAAAGGGATTTTTTGCCACTTAAAAATAAGTAACCAGTTAAAAATACTCTTATTATCATATTTTCAAAAATAGAGGTGAAATTATTGTTAGAAAATCCTGGGTTTGAGTCCTGTCAAATGGTGGCTGTAAAGATTAAGTGAAATGACTTGCATTGAAGACATGTCACGTGATCTAATTAATGGCTATGGTGATGATGATGATATGTAGATTTCAAGTAATTAAAGAAATTAATTAAATATAAGCCTGAACAAAGGAATAAAAACTGAGCAGACTTATTATATGCCCCATCAACATTTTATAATAACTTAAAGACAGTGGTTTATTGCTTTGTTCCTTCCCCCCTCTCCTCTTTCTCTCTCTCCTTCCACCCTTCCTCTTCTCCCTCCCCTCCCCTCTCCCTTCCCTTTCTATTCTCTCTTCCTCCTAAAAATCCTGCCTCAAGCGATCCTCCTGGCTCAGCCTCTCAAGTGACTGGGACTACAGATGCCCATGCCTGACTATTTTAAAATTTTTTTTATTTTATGTAGAGACTGGGTCTTACTATGTTGCCCAGGCTGGTCTTGAACTCTTGACCTCAAGTGATCCTGCTGCCTCAGCCTCCCAAAGTGCTAGGATTATAGGCGTGAGCCACCGTGACTGGCCTTAGTGGTTTATTTCTTACTGTTAGCATATACCTGTATAGCTTCTTCAAGGTTTTAAAATGCCCACAAGTGAAACTAACATCATACTGTGTTTAATGATTGCATTAGTATTTATTTCAGTAGACATTCATTATGAGATGGAGTGTGGAACTAACCTAACAGTTATCAAGGGACGCCTTGCTAGACTCTCTTCCTTTTAATAGACCTTGATTTTATTCACAAAGATAGTGAAATTCTTTCCTGCGAGATTTAGACATTTCCCAGAAAGTCCTGGGACATCATGGAAAGATGTCAGACGAACTTGAGATCAGACAAACTTGAATTCAGTTTTTTTTTTAAGACAGAGTCTCACTCTGTTGCCTGGGCTAGAGTGCCGTGGCATCAGCCTAGCTCACAGCAACCTCAAATTCCTGGGCTCAAGCGATCCTCCTGCCTCAGCCTCCCAGGTAGCTGGGACTACAGGCACGCGTCACCATGCCTGGCTAATTTTTTCCATTTTTAGTTGTTTGGCCAATTTCTTTCTATTTTTAGTAGAGACGGGGTCTCGCTCTTGCTTAGGCTGGTCTTGAACTCCTGAGCTCAAACAATCCGCCCGCCTCGGCCTCCCAGAGAGCTAGGATTACAGGCGTGAGCCACCGCGCCCGGCCCATCTTTTCCTATCTTTGAAGAGTATTTTGTTAGTGATTCTAGGGATGATTTAAACAATAGAAGTATTTGATTAGTCGTGATATGTTATAGGAAGCTTATTCATGGTTACCTACTGATCTGATTTGAGGTCTTGAATTACTTTACTGGTTTCTTGTTTGATAGAGAATTTATAAAATTTTACATGTGCTATTTCTTATAGTAGTTAAATATGTGACTAGTTTCACAGTAGTTTTTCCTCCTCTTATTGAGTATGTGATTAGCTTCACAGCCTTTCCAAGAATAGGTGTGGTGAGGAGCATCTTAACCATCTTACAGGTACATCGAGAAGTTTGAGATCCTGTCTCCCAGCTATGGCAGCTATAGAGCATTGGACTGAGGACAGATAAATGAAGGAGGAGATGATGTAGTAAGAGACCCTGTCTTTGTTCCATTAGGAAAAATATACTGGATATATATTTTGGTTTTTAAAAAGACCACTTCTATGTGTATGAAATTTAGCCATTGAGACAGTCTGTGTGTCCTCTGTTTTCTGAACACTGACCAAAAAAATGTTTTACAGAATGAAAAATTCTTTCTTTGGACGGATTTTCCTGATATTGGTTTTAATTTTCTTTTAAGGTGAACCCTCAGATAACTGTATATGGACTTTTCCCTCTTAGACACAAGAGAAAGAATGAAAGTATGTGTGTGGGCATGTATAAGTTTAGAGATATATGAGGGGGAATGAGTGGCTGAAAATAAGTGTATCTTGTGTCAGTGTTTTTAGAATGTGATGAGGCAAAGATGTTTTGGGGATATTGGTCCAGACAGGGCCTCACAGTTTTATCACCGTGTTTTAAGGTCTTAATGTTTAGTTTTACAAGGCTGGAAACTCAGTTTTCTTAAGGAAACTGACTCGATTTTAAAAATAAAATTGAAATGTGAACTGTAAGGCCAGTTTAAAATACTTGCTTTTTCCCTTTGTAGTGCTCTCCTTCCTGGGCAATTTTTTCAGATATCAGGTTAGGTGGTTTATAGAGTGTGGAATTAGAACCAAAGAAGGTAGATAAACATAAGGGATATTCCGTCCAGGCCATGATGGAGCCTAGGGATCTAACCCTGTCCCATAGCTAAGTATATTTCTGCGGTGACCAAGTCCTGATTAAAGACCAAACTGACATTTTCTATCTTCGTCTCTCTTTGGCAGTGCCTGATAGACATCAGTAAATTTTTGTACTTTGAGTTCCGTTTTGTGCAGACTATTCCCCTTTTGATAACACATTTATTTCCAATGTGTGTATGATTAATAAACTTAATTATCATTATAGTAAAGTTACATTTACTTAAGGACTTACGTAGATCTCCTTGATTATTATTTTGTTTTCAGAACTTCTCAGCTACTAGTTGACCCATTACCATTTTAATGTAGCTTTTACAGATCTCATTCAGGATGATTTTCTTTTTTTTTTTT